TTTTTTATTTCTTCATTTATCGCTAAGATAATTTTTTAAGACCTTGTATTAATTTTTTTTAAGTGAACAATATTTTTGGAGAAGGGGGAGAGGCAGTAATCTTAAACATCTCTCCAGCAGTATAGGTGTTAGTCAGTGCCTCCGTTTTCGCTTGAAATAATAGTTATTTAATTATTCCCTTTTTTGAGAGGAGGGGGGGAGGGGTCAAACTTTTTGCTCTGTTTCGATTGCTAAAAAATAACCTCAGCCGTTAAATTGACAATGTCATTATAGTTTAAGCCTGAGGGCAACCTTGCTGCACATACCGGGTTTCTGAGGAGTGAAAGCAATGATGTATGTCTTCAGCCAAGATGTCAAAAAGGAAGAAAAAAGTTCGTTTTTTGTTGTTGTTGTGTTTTTGTTGTTGTTGTTGTTTTGGTTTTTTGTGTGTTTTTTTTTTGGGGGGGGGGTTGGGGGGGTTGTTTGTTTGGTGGGGGGGGGTTGGGAGAGTGTGTTTATTTTAATTAGTTAGGAGTGTCCAAACATATCGAGTTTCCAGATTGTTCACTCTCTAAAGCTGCCCTAGCTCAGGTGCAATGTTGTACATGTCGCCACCAGTACTTAATGAAACGATTAGTCTCGCAACCGAAATGGAAATTTTATTAGAGCAATCTTTGGCCCAACTTACTATGCCTATGTCTCTGATTAATAGAAAGAGTAAATCATCTTGTAAGTCAGAGTTATTATCACTTATGCAATGTCCCAATTCTCGTTTCACGTCTCATGATGATGATAATGTTGATGTTTATGATGATGATGATAATGATGATGATGATGATGATGATGATGATGATGATGATGATGATGATGATGATGATGATGATGATGATGATGATGATGTACACGCTTTAATGACTTATACCTGAACCCATGCCATTTCAGGTACGCCAAGATCTCATGGAATATGACTACGGTGGTGGATACCAGCCTTGGATGCGCTACATGTTCTTTTGTGGATGGCCTTCTTACTACGGCGGGAATGATGCCAGCTCTGTTTTTTCGGTGAGTAGCCCGAGCGCTTGTCGTTGGCCAGTTGTTTGTATTACGTATTAAGCCGAACATTTTTAGAGAAAAAAGTCTCTCGCACTTTCTTAATAATCTGTGGTGTTGTGTTAGTCGCATGTTCAAGAGACGGTTAGGCTACCGGATTCGTAATCATGAGGTTTCGGATTCGGGTGTTCGAGTCGCAGGCGCGACGTTGTGTCCTTGGGAAAGGCACGTTTACATGAATTTTCCTCACTTTACCCAAGTAGAAATGGGCTAGCGGACACAGACAGCGAAAGATCTTGTCAGAATGTTAGTGTTTTAGCGCCTATAAAATGGCAGCTTGCAAGGTATGCTTTCCAGGAAGTTGAGATTGTTTCAGAATACTATCAGACTACTGGGGTAATAAAATTATAGATTGTAAAGCGCAAAGAGCTTGCTGTTGACCGGAAATTTGTGCTGTACAAATGCTTTCTATTATTATTAAACATTTTGTCAAAAAGGCAAGATAAGATACAAAATCTAGATTCAATTCTTATAAAATAGTTGTTGTTGTTTTTTTTTCGTTCTTTTGAAACTGTTTGCTCTCTGAGCTTGGAACTGCTTGAAGACGTGTCGCTGCTGTAGTCTGTGTTGTAGGTATTGCTCCGTATGTGGGGCGGCCTTTTCGAACGATGGTTATTGTTTCCTCGAGTAACTCCAACAGATGCTGCTGTGGTTGTTTCTGTTGTTGTTATTGCTGTTCTTGAGTAGACTGCACAGCTACCGCGGATGTTGTTTCTGTTGTCGTTATTGTCGATCTTGAATAACACGAGCAGATATGTTGCTGATGTTGTTTCTGTTGTCGTTATTGTCGATCTTGAATAACACGAGCAGATATGTTGCTGATGTTGTTTCTGTTGTCGTTATTGTCGATCTTGAATAACACGAGCA